CAGATCTGTAATCACAGCACTGAGGAGGTTGACAAGATCTTGATTTTGAAGCTGCATAGTCAGACCCTGTCTCAAAAACAACTACAAACCAAACCAAACAAGGCCAACCTCAACAGGTCAAGTACAAGACCAACATAGGGGTTTTGCAAAGCATACTAAACATGTGCTAAATTATTCCCAGGTTTGGGAACTTCCATATACACTCTAAAATAATCTTAAAATCCATGGATTCCACATTTGTAGATTTAGCCAACTGAGAATGGATAATATAGTTAAAAAAAAAAAAGAGGTGGGCACTAGTGGCTCACTCCTGTAATCCTAGCTACTCAAGAAGCTGAGATTTAAGGATCATTGTTCAAAGTCAGCCCAGGCAGGAAAGTCTGTGAAACTCTTATCTCCAATTAACCTGCAAAAATCCAGAAGTGGAACTGTGGCTCAAATGGTAGAGCACCAGCCAACCTTGAGAGAAATAGCTTAAGGGACAGCACTTAGGCTCAGTGTTCAAGTCCCGGTACTGGTATTATGTAAGAGTATGTACTGAACATGTACAGATTTTCCTGTCATTATTTTAAGCAACACACTATAACGATTCACATAGCATTACAGTAATGTAACTAACCCAGAGATGAATTAGAACACACAGGAACATGTGGTTAAGGTCTAGGCAAATACTAAGCCAATACATGAGGGATTTGGGCATGCCATTTTTTTTTTTTTTGTAATCCCAGTAGGTCCTGACCATAGATCTTGGGGATATCAATGAAGATTGAACTATTTTATTTTGTTTCTTTTTTTAAAAGTCTGGGTCTTTGGCATTGTCACCAACTTGGGCCACACCTGTAGCCCTTTTTGCTTTCTTTCTTTTTTTTTTTTCAGGCACAATCTTGAACTTTTACCCAGGCTGGCTTCTATAGCTGAGATTACATGTGTGTTACATATGCTGTTTGTGATAGGGGCTTGGCAACTTTTTTTTTTCTCCATAGCTGGTCTTGAACCACTATCCTCCCAAAATGTTGCCTCTCTCTTGTAGCCAAGATTTCCGGCAGGAGCAATCCTGCCCTCGGGGCTTCTATTGTTGCTGGGGAGGGGAAGGTCAGAGGAGTAGTCCTGTCGTAGGTTGGTGTTCTCGCAGGGTTTAAGCCCAGGCAGTCTGGCTCTGGAGATCACAAGGACACCGACGACGGTTATTGGAGGAACACAGGGAAGAAAGATCTGGAAGCTTTCCTGGAGGAAGTGTATTTTGACCAAAGCTCTTGGCACTCGCAGGGCTGTGTTGGGGGAAGGAGGCGTGTTTCTAGGGGTTTCCGTGTGACCCGGTGTGAAGGGGGGGGAGGGAGGTGGGGGGCGGGGAAGGGGCGGGGAGGGTTCTGACCCTGCACCGGAGCCTCTGGGCCCAGGGGCCGGCGGATCACCTGTGGCTGCGCCGCTCTCCCCCTCATTCGAGGCCTGGGGCTCCCCGCAGCCCTCCTTTGGAGGCCCCTGGGGCAGCAGCCGGGGTCCCAGGCCTGGGTCGGGGAGGAGGACGGGCCACGGGGCTCTAAGCAGACGGCTCCCAGCTGCGGGGATCCCACCTGCCTTGGCCGGCCTGCCGAGGTGAGGGGGGGAGCCTCCTCTCCAGGGCTCCTCTCTGACCTGCTTCTCCCACAGGGGCTAACCTTGGCCTTCCGGATAAGGCAGTAGCGCTGGTCGCGCCCCCTTCTGGCCGCTCGCGGACTCGCTCCCGAGAAGGGGCCTGGGTGATCGCGACGCCCAGCCTTGTCAATCAGAGCCTCCACCTGCTGACGGACAGCGACCCAGCCCGCCAGGCCTCGCCTCTTCCTGCTCAGCGCCGCCCCTTACCGCTTCGCCCCGCCCTCCCCGCTTGGTCCCGCCTCTTTCCGCCCTTGCCCCGCCCCGTTCCCTCCCCCGGCGGCGCCTGCTGCCGCTGGACCATTCCGGAGCTGCAGGTCACTTTCTCCTGGTGCTCCCTGTGGTCAGCAGCAGGCGGGGCGTCTCTTCCCTGGCGTTGGGATGCTTGGCTCTGCGTCTGCTGTCACCACCTCTCTGGGCTATTGGGGCAAGTGACTTCAATTTCAAAGTGGTTATTTTGCAGGCGTGTGAGGGAGATGAACATTGCCTGTTGACCCAGTGATCAATCCATGCGTTGTCACTATCCCCATCATCATCATCGTCATCACCATCATCATCATCATCCATCCTCCTCCTCCTCCTCCTCCTCATCCTCATCGTTTTTCACTACTAAGGTGCTATGGGCTGAATGTTGGGACATGCTGAGACCTCCTGAATGCGATGTTAAGGGGGAGGGGTAGTTAGGTCCTGAGGTCAATTCCTCAGGATGAAGCCAGTGCTCGCAAAGAGGAGCCTGCAAGCCTATTCCAGCACCACTCCCAATGCTGACAAGAGCCCTGCAACTCATACACTGCACAGACCCAGAGGAACAGCGGGGGGAACACACACACACACACACACACACGTGTGTGTGAAGAGCCTGACAGTGGTACTGTGAAGGACATGACACCTGCCATCTGGCAGCTGTCACTTTTCCCCTGGGACAATGAGGAAGTGGAGCTTAAGGAGGCTGTAGGAAGTTGTTTAAAGGACCCTCAGTGACAGACATGAAGAGGAACAAGGATGTGCTAAGCTGAACCCAGGAGTGCAGCTTCCAGACTGTAATACTCAGCAGACCTGAAGCTTCAGCACTACCACTGATAAAGGAGTGGTGTTGGGTAGCCTTAGACAGGATGGGTTTCAACTTGGGTGGAAATGTTAGGGCCTTATTAACACACACATATTCCAAATGCATATGCCTTAAAGTGTTGGCCTGAAAAACAGTGATCTGCTTATCTGTGACACTTGAAAGCCTAGCATCTCATGGATCTCTGCTCTGAGAATGCTGATGCTTAGGCTCTCATGCTTGACAGCGCCTCCCTACCCGTGACCTTTGTCTCTTGGCAGAGTGAAGGTGAAGTGACTGGCAGTGTGTAATGAGTGGTGGAGATCTGCTGCATGCAGAATGCCAGTTTAGAACCACAGAACGCAATCTGTTTCAAGAAAATGCCTTCCTTTCAAATAATTTTATTTTTGGAAAAATGAAAGGCCCAAGGCAAACCGTTTTAGTTCATTCATAGACACAGATGGGCCTGTGAGAAAGCAATGTGGGAAAAATGTGGTCCACTACCTATTTTTTTATTTTTTGTCGGTAGTGGGGCTTGAACTCTGGGCCTGAGTGCTGTCCCTCAGCTCTTCAGCTCAAGCTAGCGCTCTACCACTTGAGCCACAGCTCCACTCCCCCTATTTTATTTTTTGCCAGTCCTGGAGCTTGAAACTCAGACCTGGATACTGTCCCTGAGCCTCTCTGTGCTCAAGGCTAGCACTCTGCCACAAGTCACAGTATCACTTCCAGCTTCTTCTGTTTATGTGGTTTTAAGGGCTTCATGCATGCTAGGCAAGTACTCTACTATTAAGCCACATTCCCAGTCCCAACTACCTATTGTTTTCTGAGCCTGGAAACTGAGATAGGCTTTGGCCTACCTCATCTAAAAGGCGACCACCTTCAAGAAACACCACTGCTCCCCCTCAAGTCTAGTTTCTCTAACTTTGGTAAAATTGGAGAGAATTGTACCTTACATTAACTTCCTTTCTATTTCATTTTCTCACCTCCCTCTTTGCATGCCCCTAGGACAGACATTTCTCACACTGGAGACCAACTGTTTTCTAGAGGTGAGAATTTTACCAACAGGCCTTCAGGAAGGAACAAGGAGATACAACCTCACCCTAAGGTCTTTTTTGCTCACTATGGCCATAGCTGCACTTTCTTCAAAGGGAGCTTATGTATTTATTTATTTTTTGGTCCAGAGGCTTTAACTCGAGTCTGGATACTGTCTTTTGAGCTCTTTTCACATGAGGCTAGCACTCTACCACTTTGAACCACAGTGCCACTTCTAGTTTTCTGGTGGTTAACTGGAGATAAGAGTCTCAAGGACTTACCTGCCTGGGTTGGCTTTGAACCTCAATTCTCAGATTTCAGCCTCCTGAGCAGTTAAGATTAGTGGTGAGCCACTGGCACCTGGCTAAAGAGCTTTTTCAAAGTCACTGGATGGGAATGTGCTGAGCAGTCCTATAGACAGATGAGCTCCCAGCTTGCAAAAGGTCTGTGAGGCCAATGCCCAACAGACACCACCTGAAGCACAGCAAGTTCTGATGGCTTTTGGGTTGCGCCTTTCCTAAACTTTGGTTCTATAAGCCAAAAGAAGACATTTTCTTTTTATTTTGTTGGCTGTGGGGCTTGAACTCTGAGCCTGGGCGCTGTCCCTCAGCTCTTCAGCTCAAGGCGAGTGCTCTACTGCTTGAGCCACAGCACCACTTCGGTTTTCTAGTGGTTTATTGAGATAAGAGTCTCACAGACTTTCCTGCCCAGGCTGGCTTTGAACCTCGATCCTCAGATCTCAGCCTTCTGAGAAGCAAGGATTACAGGCATGAGCCACTGGTGCCCAGCTGGAAATTTTCTTTAAGGATAGAGAAAGGAAGTTATTATACATGGGACATGCTGTGTGAAGAGGCAAAGTAAGCATTTCAAGCCATCTTTAAGATATAGGCGTGAGCTTCAGGTTTAAAGAATCATAATACATTAATTATTCAGAAGTACAGATCACCAGTATGTTTTGGTGAAGCCCAGTTTAGTCTTGTTTTGGGAGGGACTCTGTCAGTGCTGGTCAGGGTAACCAAGTCATTGTTGCTTGGTGGGTGGTTTTACTTCCCCCTCTGCCCCCCCAGCTTTGGGAAGTTTCCTCCACTCCTCTCAGTGAGCATGTTATGCAGACGTACTCTCCTCAAAACTTGAAATTTTCTGCTCAGGCTGACATGATTGGATTCCCATCACTTGCCTCACAGTCCATATAACTGTTTCCAAAAACCTGTGTATTACCTTCACCATGTTTTCCCCACAACCCCACATCAAATGAGTTCAAAATACTTCACACAGCATGCTGAAGAAATCCTTTGAATAATACAAGTTTATTTTATAAATCAAATATACACTTCCAATTTTCTACGTCAATCCAAATGTTTAGAAATTAGATTTATTTACAATTTTAACTAGTGTGATTTTTACAACTGGGTGGCATTTACAGTTGAAATAAGAGTTGTTCTTGGCAGAAGAGTTGTTCTTAGCTTTTCATACTTGACTGTCACACAACACTAAATATTTTTATCTTAGATAGTATTTACTCAGTAATAAAATATAATGGGACACTTGCTTAATAAAAGGGTTAAGAAATGATTTGGGTTATAATCAAAGGAATGTAACTACAAATCTGTAGAAAGGCACTTTGCATGTAAAATTCCAATAAAAAGCTATTCTTCAAAATTTTACAGATCTAAAGAATTACTCCTAGTTAACATGTTTTCTGCTTTAGTGCTTAAAAGCCTCCATAAATCTGATCACCTTGGGTGTTGAGGTTAGCTTACTTGCAAGACTTCTAAGCAGTCTATAAAGTATGCTTGGAAGGCTGCGGCATTGTGGCCCACAGCTCGTGAGGGAGGCCAGTGATGATACATGGATCACAGGAAGCGGGTGGGAAGAAGGGACTAGAAAATCAGAGTGCAGCTACAGAGAGAAGGCGATGGAGGAGGAGATGAGAGATGTCTGCTGTGACTCAGACTCTTGTTTTCTAAGTGTTCAGGGACAGATTCCAGCAAAACTTCTGGTTTGGGTCAAGCCTTTTTGAGCTGATGACTTCCCAACTGAGATAGTTACATAGTTGCAGAGTGTGTGTGTGTGTGTGTGTGTGTGTGTGTGTGTGTGCGCGCGTGCGCGCACACGCTGTGAAACACATATTTTTAGTTTTGCTCCCTATTCAGCCAGAAAACCAGCGGAGAGAATAAAACCAATACAGAAATCAAAGCTGCTTCCAGGAAGGAACTGTATATGCAAGTGTTTCTTCTCAGTGGAGCAGGAAGAAATGAAATTGGAGTGTAGGCTCCTGAAGACTGGTAAGGGCAGGAGGGGAGAGCACAGAAAAGGAACCTCTAGAAAGGAGATGGTGAATGGAAAGGAAATCCCAGGCACTGTCAGTTTCATGTTGTTTTAGGAACTGGTGTTTCACCCATCTAGGCTGAGGGGGGGGGGGGTTAATGGTTAAATCTAACAATGGTCATCTGCCCCAATCCCTCAGAATTAGGTTGCTACCAGGAAGTTCTGCCAGGCATCTTCCTACTTTAGTTTCAATGCCTCATTTCCTAAGGTGATCTGAATTCTAACTAGCACAGGGAGGTTCCACAGACACCAGTGTCTAGTTATCACAAGCTCATGTGGTTCATATGTGTCTCTGTCAGTTATGGGAAGCGTGCATTTGTACTTTTAGCTCAATGCTTTTCACACAGAACACATTTGACTAAATGAAGAGATTACGGCCTGGAACCTCTAATCTCTAGTTATGCTTGCACTACTCAAGCACAAGTTCATTGTTTCTAAGGGGGAAAAGAGGCTTTTTTGTACTGTAAAATTAAAAAAAAATTAAATGATTAGATGATGGTGCCCTCTGTCGCCAAGAACACTGCTGGGAACGCTTTCAGCAGCTGCAGCCAAGTCCCTCACCTGTGCTATTTAACAATGTCTACTCAGGAAGTAAGGCACTTCACCTAAAAGGCTAGGTTTTGGAACAGAAATGAGTTTGGCACTTTTTTCTCTTAACTTTATTTTGGAGGTGTGACCTGTATAAGTGCCAGGGCTCTAAGCCCTTCCTAAGCACCAAGATGTCACCCTGGGGGCCTTTCCTGAAGGTTGTCAACACCCAAGAAATGCAAAATGTGTGTGGTCTTGACTGGAGACTCTTTCCCTGGGGGTGGGGGTGGGGTACTGACAAAATACTCCATTGCGTGGTTTGACACAATTTCTGGTCTACTTGAAAAAGGATGAAAATTCATCTCAAATTGTTGTCATGCACACAGAAAGTACTAGATTTTTCCTTTGACACTGAGCTCAATTTTCAGTTTGTAATAATGTCTCCTAAAAAGGCAAGGGCTCACTCTAAAACTTCCAGGTCACATCCAAAGGACAAAAGGATTCTTATTTAGTCTAGCAGTCTGATGAGAACCCTCCTATGGCCCTCCAAGGTGGGCACAGGCGGTACTGAGTGAGAACTTGGGGACAGGCAGCCAAAGGTCCTGACAGTGTCCCTGATTCCAGCATGCTGACTTCAGTTGGATGAACATGTGTTTCTCCAGAACAACCTGTTACAGCCAGGACTTGCTTGTTTAGATACACAGGGAAGGAAGGTAGCTGTGTGAGGATAAATAAATTGTGAGGAGTAATAAATCTAGAAATCTAGATTAGACTGGGCATGAGCATTCTCATTTGGAAAGTTACAATCTGAGCAGGCCAAAGTCATGTGTATTCATTAACGGCATAGTGTCATTATAAAAAGTATGCACGCTCCATAGATCAGAAGGAAGGGTGAGTGCTCCTCTTGTAGAGCTAAGCAGAGTTCCAAGCTGAGATAGTTTTCTTGGTAGTAATGACACAAGTGGAATTTTGGAATTGAGGGAAAGGAAAAAGGAGAATGAGAGTGAAGGGAAATCTAGTATTCTAGGAGGTAAGAAAAGCTGCGTGTGGTAAGTGCATGCTTATAATCCCTGCACTTGGTGGGGAGCGGACTGGGACAGGAGGATGAGTTTGAGGGTAGCCTGGGCTACATACACAGCAAGACCTTTTGTCTCAAAAGACAGACAAGAACCGAAGAGGTAAAGGAGTCCCTGTTAAAATCACAACACTTCATTAGGCAACAAGATTTTCAAGTGGGAAAGCATGCTCAAAATAATCATAACAATACTATGACAATGGAAATGAACAAAAAAAGTCTAAGTGCATTAATACAGCATTATTAACATATCAACCAACTACAATGGAAGCCACGTGGGCACGGGAATGGCTGTGAAGGCTGCTCAGGAAGCAGAAGCTGACGCCACGGGCTGAATTTCAATGATCCTTCAGCACATAAAGCCACTGTGCCCTTGACATGGAAATCCCAAATCATCTAAGTAACAAAACATTGTAAATTGTAGAGAACTATACAAGTATTTACTCTGGTGTGCATCACAGTTTAGAACAAGTTCCCTGGTTCAGCTGGGTGGCATTGTCAATGGGAGGTCCATAAGGTCAGCTGAGCAGAGAAGATGTGAGGGATTGTTGTGGAATCTTGACCTTGGTTATATTGCCCACAATTTGCATACAGATAAATAATATGCAGTATGTCAGAATCAGGATTTGAAATTAGAAACAAGGAAAAAAGCAGATAACAATCTGGTATTCTTAAGGCAAACAATAGAAATCTCTTTAAATAGACACTTTATTATATCCACAGGCGATAAAATCCCAGAGCTACTGTTAGGCATGTAAATACAGACCCTGTAAGAAAAAAATAATTGAGAGTACTATTAGTTGTATGAATGGTTACTTGAAGGAAATGGACTTCCCTCCTGCATTTTACACTGTATATGGGTATTACGAGTAATCCACAGGTGATTTAAAGAATCTATTAAGAACATAAAGGGACTCATCACCTATCCACTAAGAATATAAAAAATAAAAACTAGAAACTCAGAGTCTTTTTCATGAAACACCTGCCCAAACTGCACACCATGAGATCATTCAAAAATCATTGCATCATCAACTGAATATCCAAGAATAACTTTTCAGTAAAAGTATAGAAGCATAAATATTCTGTGGTTACAAAGTATATGTATGTGTACTATACCAGGACATATACTTTAAGCCAGATATAGTGGTACACACTTATAATCCAGGAGTATTCAGAGTTGAAGGCCATACCAAAAAACCCTTGTAAACAATTAAATTCCTAAAACTGATCTGAAATAAGGGTTATTTTTTTGATAAATTTTCATTTATTTTGGCTCAAAAAAAAAATCTCAAAACAATCCTTAAAAGGAGTGTCACCAATGGAAGAAGAAAGAACACAAGGCATACACCTTCAATCTTGTCTATAACATATCCCCTGCATTGAATTCCTCTAAAATTACATGTAACCATCATCCAATGACAGCATCTTAGCAAATTTATGATTCCACCAATTATGAAATACACAATTTAAAGAATGTATGAGCCGGGTGCTGGTGCTCATACCTGTAATCCTAGCTACTCAGGAGGCTGAGATCCAAGGATCATTGCTCAAAGCCAGCCCAAGCAGGAAAGTCTGTGAGACTCGTATCTCCAATAAACTACACAGAAAAAAGCCAAAAGTGGCACTGTGGCTCAAGTGGAAGACTAGCCTTGAGCACAGAGGTGCTCAGGGACAGAGTCCAGGCACTCACTGTATTTTAAGCCCCAGGCCCAGCTCCCTCCCCCTGAAAAAAAATGTATTACCAAGAAAGGGTACATGCAAATTAAAGTATGATGCTCTGGGAAGTGTAAGATGCTTTCCAATTTAAGAGGTTTTTCAAACATGAAAGAAATATCAACAAATTACACCACCAGACATGGGCTTAGTTTTATAAAGCTGAAGTATTTTCTTATATCTTACCTGCTAAATATTTGATAGTATCAAGCTTGTGCGCCTCAAGCATGGTTTTTAGGCCAGCAACCTCAGTTTCTATCTTCCTATCGGTCTGGGTCAAGGCGCGGTCTTGCTGGGCATGCTTTTAAAACAAAGAAGTGCAGAGCATTAGCTCCTTCTGCTGTCAATCAAGTTCCTTTCTGGCAGGTGCAGTCACAGAGAAGTCTGGGCTCAGACTAGGGGCTGGAGCTTAGTCTTGGTTTTATTATCCTCACGCCTGGCTGCTTCTGCCCAGACCTTAGTCTCATGTCTCCATATCTTTCTGTTTGGGAAAAAGGAAGAAAAAAGTACCATTGGCCCTGTCTTCCTAGGGGCTATTTAAAGAATCAAGTGTGAGAATGTATGTAAAAGCTACAGATTGCTTTAAAAGTGCCGCAGCATTATGAATCTGGGCTGCCCCTCCCGTTGCCATCCCCACCAAAGGCGATGAAGTCAGCACAGTGCAAGTCCTTTGTGTTCATCACCATACTATGTCTAGTCATGTCTTCATAAGCTTTCCTTTTCATAGCTCAAACATCCAGTATTTTTTAGTAATATAAGGCTGAGCTACCAAGGGCCAATTTGCATCCTTCTCCAAATATAATCCAGTTAAACAAGCTACATAATTAGCCCCCAAAGGGCAGTTTGGCTACTGTTATAAAGAAGTTATACTAATGCATAAAAATTTCCAGGATGCTTCTCTGAAAGTCCTAAAACAAGCAAGTTGTTTCCTGTGGTTACCAAGGCAGGCAAACAATCAGGACGTGGTATGTGAGCAGAAAGCAGTGCAGAAAAGCATTCTAAGACCTCATCCTCATGGAGGCCGCGTAGAGTCAGGTGCCAGAGCACACAGTAATGATTGTTGCTTTGTGTGTGTTTTCTGGCACCAAAACCTGAGTGCCTGCCTTGCGCATGCTAAACACACGTTCGACCATGGAGCTTCAACCTCAGCACGAGGTAACATTAGTATGGAATAGGAACCAATGAACCCCAGTAATTAATATCCATTTCTTGTTCATTGATAGTCACTGAGATTTAAACTAGTATGAAGATAACATTTTAAGACCAAAACATTTTTTTTTGGGGGGGGGTCCGGTCGTGGGGCCTGAACTCTGGGCTTGGGTGCTGTCCCTCAGCTCTTCAGCTCAAGGCT